GGTCCCTGGTTCGAATCTGTGTTTGGACATGGATATTTGTAAATGTATAGTGGGTTGGGTTGGTAGAGCAACCTTGGCTGAAATCCCGCCCTCTTAAAAATAAAGGCAAAAATAAACAAGTACAAATTGTGCACAACCCTTGTGCAGGTAAAGCGCTTTTTTTAAACACCCCTACGAAATTTCTTCTATAAATAAGAAAGTTGGCACTGCACATCCTACACAAAACCAAATTTGGAAGATGGCGCTACATTTGCTTTTATTCCAAGTGGCTATGTATTAAATTTTATTTAAATGCCGAATGGTTATATTTCTTCCAAACGTCCCATCGCCCTTTGTAGGTACTTTCCTTTGACAATTCACTCGTTAAGATATAAGGAATTATAACCGATCACGACAAGGGATCGAGGAGGAAGACTGTGGTTAATATAAATTAATTCCTTTCGTTGAGACCTTTCATTAGAGTACCATGAAGGATAAAACTAGTTCCACCCCCCCCCCTTCCCCATCCGGCTGTAATTTGATAAGAAGACAAAAAGAAGAGTAGTAGTTTGTAGCAAAACTGTTCCATTCGTTGAGACCTTTAATTAGAATACAATGAGAGATAAAATTTATTTTCTGGCGAGCACATGGATTTTGATCAAAACATGTCAACATCGTTATTTATGCACCAAGATCGTTGGAAAAAAGACCAAAAGCATTATCTCAATGACCAACACATGAATTTGGTCTATTTTTGGCGACCACGTAAATTTTGATCAAAACATGTCAGAATCGCTATTTATGCACCAAGATCGTTGGGAAAATGACCAAGAGCATTATCTCAATGACCAAAACATGAATTTGATGCATTTTTGTTAACTATAAAATGTATTATGTAAGATTAAAATAAATTGTCGTTAAAAAGTGATTGTAATACTGAGGATCGCCTTCGATATTTCGTTGTATCGGTTTATTTGCATTCAAAACCTCTTGGTATATTTGAGTCACTCGAAAGGCTTAGGATTATACAACAAAAATAAATATTTAAATAAACTCGCCCGAATAATTATTAGGTTAAGTTGGCTGTTCTGATTTGCCTCTTATGAATATTGATGTCGAAATCGCGCCCACTTGACTTTAATTCGGGAATAAAAACGTAAAACAATGGAAAGCGGTGGATGCAGATGACCTTGTTGATGTAACAATAGATAATGGAACGATTGATGTAGGTCAAAATTTAAATTTTATGCCGTTTGCCACAAGGTGCTCATCAATCAGCGTCGCACTTAAATTTTGCGATTGGCCAACGCGGAAAACCGAAGTCGTTACGCAATTTGAAGATCACGGATAGGTACAAATAATACAAATTCTTGAGGAATGACGAAAATAATGTGAAATAGTTGCAAAAGTGTGTCGCCATTTCAATTGGCACGGGACACCTTTGGGGTCGTAAGGTCGCTGAGGCTATTCGATTTTGAAACGGCGCGAACACGAAAATTAATTATCGGCATAGTCATAATTGTGATCTTTGACCTCACTTTTACTAATTCAAGCGTCGGATGACAAAGAAAAATTGTCGTTACGCAATTCCGATACATTTTCGATAAGTTTCAGGAAGAAGACCGCGGTGGAAAAGGTGAACGATGCGTTCGCATTCCTCTTATAAAGGTCTTTTATATAATCAATTTATGTGGACTAAACTCCTAATTGCCCTTCGAGTAATTATCTTTAATAAAACGGTGGCGTTGACAAATGACCGTATCCAAAAAAAAAATGTAGGTGGAGGACGTGGTGAAAGTAAAAATCGAAAGTGATCCACTCCCAATCATCTTTTTATGCTGATAGCGGTTATCAATATTTATACAACTTTTACAAGACCACCCCTTCCCCCCGTTCAAATTGATGCGTTTGACCTTTAATCGAACCGAAGGTCTCGCCTAATACCTACTGTCAGTTGCACTTTCACAGATTTTGACAATAAATGCGTTTTTCATTGTAACGCAACGACCGTTATTTATTGTAAATATTTTCGTCTTTGACCTTAAGAGGGCGAATAAGTGACACCGTGTATATGTGTAACGTAACCTTTAAAAATCGAACGTCTCCAATGGACATCTTATATCGCATTCCATTCAATCGTTTACCTTGAATCACAAATAGTGATGGACTATGACGAAAGACTAAAATGCCACGATTTATCTAAGAACATCTGTCTGAACTTGTATTAATTAACCAACTTTCATTTCGTCTCCTACGGACACGCCTTCCGTGGAGGATGACAACTTACCGAAAGCTTTGGGGTACAGTCCGAATCGTGCCCGTTGACTATCCCGTTGACGCACAGCTGCGAGGGAACGCATACTTTGTCGCAAGAGGGATGGGCGCCGGGAAACGGTTGCCCTCCCTGATTCGGATGCTGGGAAGCGAACGGCGGCTTCTGGTGGTCACCGTGCGGGTGCGAAACGGGGAAAGGTTGCGCTCTGTTCGCCGATCCGAAAGGCACGGCGGGCTGTACGCCTAAAAATCCCTGGGCGCCCGTCGAAACCGCTTGACCGGTGCTGGCGTAGGCGGCTTGCATGCCGGTGTTAAGGAACGGGTTCCTGCTCAGATCGATTTTGGGGGTCGTATGGCCTACGTCACTAATCTGCCCGTTCAAAAACGGATTGTTTTCGAAATTACCCGGGCCGGCCGGCTCTATGTCGTTCGAGACCTTCGGCCGTTCGGGAACTTGGAACGACGGCGCCACCGGCGGTAAACAGTCGCTTTTCGACGAACACTTCTTGAAATACTCATACGCCTGTTTGAAGGGCGAGTCGGCGGCGGCCCACCAAAACGGCACGGATCCCGGAACGGCAGCTTGACCGTCGTGATGATAATGCTGATGCTCCTGGTAGCACGGCGGAGGGTGAGCCGAACCGTCGAGGACGTGCTTCACATCACCCTTGGACGTCGATATCAGGGCGAGCGCGCCCAAAATTAGTAGTCGGCGCATTACGTCGCTTTACCTGCAAAAACCGAGCGATTAGAATTTCGACTTCTGGCCTTGACAGTGGGAGAAACCCGGTCGAAATAACAATCCGACCCTTGACACTTTCTGACTTTTGTATAATTTAGGAAGCAACACGAGAGCGTCTGGAGCGGCGGCAAGGCGCGAGTGAAAAAGTCATTTGAGCGAGACACAAATCGTCGGCCTTCGCAAGGATTTTACCGTAAGTGAAAAGATCGCCCGGTATATTCCACCCACTTGTAACTTTATAATTAAAAGCTTATATAATTCTTGAGGTCAATATCTTGAAATGTGCTCGGCACGAAGAAGATGAGATGATCGAGTGCCGTGGTTGCGAAAAAAAAGTAATTGAACTACAAGGTAAGTAAATAAAGTACTGCAAGGTAAAAGGATTAATTAACGTAGTCGATAATTTAGCATAAATGTTATTGGCTCGTAAAGTGGCAGGATGACATCACGAAATTTTACTTTCGAAAACGCATCATGTCTAATCCACATTTTGGAAGCGACCGGATTTGGAAAAAATCGTGTTAAATAAATTACAGCGTAAAAAGGTCAATTTAGAAATTAGCGTTGTGTAAAATTGAGCGATTACAAACTAAGAGATCATCGGGGGTCACAACGTTAAAAGGTAAATTGCGATCAATTCAATAGCACTTACGCAATAGTGTAAATAAATAAAAACAAATAAATAAATAAATAAACAAACGGCACTGTATCACAAAACACTGAGAGATGCTCCGAACATGGCGTCACTTTTATACCGGCGTACATCTTTGATATTCGCGTACGTCTTTAAATTCTCCCCCCACCGCCGATATCGGTTTTAACTTATGCAAAAAATTGTTTTCATAATTTTCCTAAAAACGATAAATAAAACGGCGATTTCAACGCTAAATCAAGACACGAACCCCGGAATGTCGCGCGTCACTAGGGCAAGTAAAGCGGTTCGCATATGAATCACACGGTTTTGAAATTGCGGATTTTCCTTATAGGAAAAATTATGAAAATTTCCTCGCTTGCGGAAGTAATCTACGTACGTCATTATTTACGATTCCTTGCCTAATAAATTAATAATAATATGCATCGTTTATTGTCTCGACAGTCTAATATTTTGGCTTCTTCGGATTGCAACACATTGTCGTGGATGGCGCCTCGATTCTAATATAAATCATAAAATAAAGACCTTGGTTCCGTTTCATAAGAATTTTTGGGCTTTACTTCGGCAGAACAATAAATAATCGATTTTTTAATCGGTTAATAACCATAATCAATTCACAAGGACGTTATGTACAACATCCTTTAATCCGCATTATTGTGCACGATGGCGTACGATTGGTGCCGTACTACCCCTAACATGAATTTTTAAACGCACCCTTAATTTGACTTGATCAAAGGCTTCGTATGGTCAATACGCGTATAGTAAAACAAAGAGCAATGAATCGGCTAATTCGACATTTGCATGAAAATGAAAATTTTAGCGAATTCGGAACAATTCCCATAATTAAAAAATTTAACGCCGAAGGTTAACAAATGAATATTCAGAAAAATTCAAATTTGATTATAACATTGCACTGTTTCTAATGAGTAATGACCAATAAAGTTTCCCTTCCGGCGGCATCGTTTGGTCATAGTTTGCAGGTGCGTGCCGGGTCATTAGCTATTAATTTGATTTGATTGAATCCATAATTAAGTACTAATTATGCGCCGTTTTGCGTCGTTTGAATGAAATAAGTTATTTCAAAAATTATTTTGACCCGGCCAACTTCGCGGAAAGAAATTAAACGCTAATTGTTCTATTGGAGCGCAGAATGGCATTCTTATAATTTTTAGGGGTTGGAACCGGAATCGAAAAGAACCGGTACCGGAACCGAAACCATTTGCATTTATAAGTTTCTGACTTGGAACCGGGACCGTTATTTATAAAGTCATGATAACCGGAACCGATGCCGGTACCGTTGTTATTAGTGCCAAAGAACCGGTATTTTTCGGTTCCCTTTTCTTGTGGGGTTTGCGGGAAATGCGTGTTATATTGTTGCTCTTAAAATTTCCTTCTGAGGTGTTGGTGTTTTCTTTTTTTCTTAAATTTAACATTATTCAATTTCCTTGTACCGGTAGCAAACGAAAAGCATCTACAGAATCCTAGAGTCAGCAAATCATACTTTCATTCCTTATCACCAGACTGATCCTTTCTCGACTTGATGGCCAAAAATATAATCTTGCCTTCTGAATTACGTTCTGTGTTGTAGAATTTGCAAGAAATTTCAAAAGCCAAAAATCCAAATTCTCATTTTTATTCAGGGCTGCCCAATAACTTCTACCAACTTAACCTTAATACTAAACAAATTTAAAATATCTTAGAGTGACTAATACCTATAAAATGAAGCAAAATCAGTAAGAAGGTTGAAGAGTGTATAAGGAAAGCAATAGTTGAAACTACTCCTGAAGGAGGGAAGTAGAAAAAGACAAACAGTTGACAGAGGTGAAACGAAAGCGTAAGCTAAAAATATAAGTGGCAATCTAGCTTAAAAAACATGTTTATGCATAATTAATAATAATTTATATTTTTAATAATAATTTTATTTACGTTGGAACCCTTAAAAACTGAAAAAAAAAATGAAACCGGAACCGAAAATTACTGAAGTCACAAAACCGGAACCGATACCCCTATACCCCTAATAAATGATTCTACCTAAATATTGCGGAATCGAAACCGATTTCATATGGGCTCCAACCCCTGAGTCTGACTTACCGCATCAGACCTTTACTCTACCTATGTTTGTACCGAACTTGCCTTCGGTTCGTTCGGGATTAGTTTTAAAAGTATCACTTTTGCATAGCCCCGGATTGTTCTGCCGACCCGGACCGGAGCGAAAAAGAACCACCGAAAACCGAACCGAAACCGTTTATCCTTCAGAAACTTATTGAGAACCGGAACCCATATTACTTTTTTCGGTTCTTTTCGTTTTTTTACGGTTCTGAAGAACAGGTTATTGGAAGTTGAAGGACGCGCCAGCCTGAAAATTGATAAAAATATATTACTCCATGATTGCCATCTGTGGATTATAAATTTTTAATAAGGTGTCGAAATGGAAGGCAGTCCGGGTGGCGGTGGCGTTAATTTATCCACTATTGTAAATGTAAGTAATAAAAGCGGGAGTGAGGTTTTAGAAAATAAAAATAACAAATGTAAATTGTGCATTTCTTGCAGACGCCTCAATCACTCTTTGTGAGTACCCTTTTCCGACAATCAGTTCTTGAGGTATAAGGGAATATACCCGATTACGATTCCTTTCGTTGATACCTTTCATTAGAGTACCATAAAGGATAAAATTAGTGCCACTCCCCCCCCCCCCCC